TAGCTCTAAGACAGTAAATATATAACAATTAAGTAAGGACAATTCATAGGTGAGAATTACATTTACAATGTCCAGCCCATATGTATTTGGCAAATTTAGGGAAAGTACTCAATTGTCTGTCCTGTCTTAGTGAGTTCTACTTTATACCTCAACCATTTTCTATTGTAACTTGTGTTACCATCCTAAAAATACCTTTTTAGATCTTAAAACATTTTCGTAAACAACTTAAGCATTTGTAGTTCCTAACCATATAAACTTTCCATCTCTTATGTAGATTTTTTTTCTGAATTTGGTAAAAATGTCTGCCATAAAACTATATCTATAACTATAACTATCGTTAACTCAGTCAGAGACCTGAGAAGGATATATTACCCAAGTAAACAGGAACTGTAGAGCTAACAACTTGCCAAACTATAGAAATGACAAAGGCAGCTGACTGCCTGAACAGACATTCAAGGTTCCTCTGCATCACTAGGTCATCCATCTTTGGGCTATAGGACCAGAATATCAGACAGACTTTTCTGTGGAGTAGGAATTTTTGAAGGACTGTCCTACCTTGTTTTGCTGAAGTTTAGCAGTCTATATGTCTTATTTGTACAATTTGGATAGTATAATGTTATTAGTCAATGCAAGAGCAGTTTTTTCCCCAATGGCTAACTTTTCTATTTTAAAAAAAGCAAACTTCATATGGAGGTTCTTGGATGTCTATCATCCTTTTTTTGAGGTAAATTGGTGCTGTCCTAAAAAGCCTTCTGCTATTAAAACATCTTAAATGCCATGTTCTGTAGATCTCTGAAGTGTTTGAGCCCACCTGTCTATCTAAAGTGTAGGTTTAACCTTGAAAACATATCTACATATCTACTGTGACTACAGTTTTATTGTTACAGATGACTAACTACTACATTCATTTTTTTCTTTTTATTATTCATATTTTTCACTTGTTTTATTGCCTGACTGCAGTTTCACTTCCCTCTTCTTCTGTCCCCTCCTCCCATCCCCTGCTCCCCATCCACTCTCTTTCTATTCAGAAAAGGTCAGGTGTCAACAACATGGTATAGCAAGATGAGGTAAGAGTGACCTCCTCCCCTGCATCAAACTGGACAAGGCAACCCATTATGGGGAATAAGTTTCTAAAAGCCAGTTCAAGCATTAGGCACAGGTTCTGATCCTCCTGCTAAGAGTCCCACACATAGACCAAGCTATACAACTGTCATCCATATGTAGAAGTCCTAGCTCCATCCTATGCAGGCTTCCTAGGTGTCAGTCCATAGTCTCTGAGCTCCTCTGAGCCCAGGTTGGTTGTCTCTGTGTGTTCCCTTGTGATGATCTTGCAACCCTCTCCCTGTTCCCCCTACCCCAGCCCAGGTCAGACAATCTTCCTCTCTTCATCAGGATTCCTGAAGTTTGGCCCAGTCCTTGGCTATGGATCTCTGCATCTGCTTCTATCAGTTACTTGGTTACTAGGTGAAGGTTCTCTGCTGCAAATTAGAGTAGTTATCAAACTGATTACAGGAGATGGCCAGTTCAGGCACCATTTCCACTATTGCTATGAGTCTTAGCCAGGGTTATCCTTGTGGATTTCTAGGAGTTTCCCTGTCAGCTAGTTTCTCTCTGACCCAGAAATGACCCCCATCATCACTCCCCCACTTCGTCCAGCCCACAAGTCACCCAAACTGATCCTTATGTTCCCGTCCCTCTCACCTCACCCCCCCCCCCCAGTTTAATTAGGAAATCTCTTCCATTTCTACTTTCTAGGGAAATCCATATGTCCCTCTTTGGGCCCTTGTTTCCTAGTCTCTGGGATTATAGATTGTAGCATTCTAACTTACATCTTAAACAGTTTGTTGTAATAGCTTTTAATAACTAGAACTTTACATTTTAAAATGAGTTGCATAGGTACAATACCTTAAACAGGAGTAGATTCATATATACCCACTATGTTAAAACAAAAATTCCTGAATCTAACCTGCTTTGTTTTTTTTTTTTTTTTAACCTGACTTTGACCAGTATCAACTTGAGCCAACCTACCTAAACAATGACAAACAACCATAATCCACCCACCCATCCCATCTCTTGGAATGTAGGCATCATGTCTTTTAGACTGCCTCCTGTTGTCTGGAGGTGAGAGCATCTTTGGTGGACCTTGAGAAAATTGAGATAATGGGCAAGTTCTGGAAGAGCTAGCTGTGTTATTTTTTTGCTTAGTCTCTGTGTGATGGGAAAGTGTAGCATTTATCTGAAGTCTTGGGTGGAGTAGTCTTTGAGGCTGGACCATGGCAGCTAGCAGCTTTGAAGTTTTCCCATATGCAGAGTTTTGAGGAAACAACAACAGATGCATTCTGAGAGACTGGATCATCTGGGCTACTTGTCTTTTTTATTGGTGTCTGGCCCTTTTTTTCTAAAAGCACAAACTTTTTAAAGGATACATGCATATACATATTCACAATCATACATAAATATATACATATGTATGTATATGTATATGATTCTGTAGCCAATAAATATTATCATGTCTTATTCAGTAGCAGGTATTTCCATGTAGAGTGATCAGCATATACATCACTTATCTTGTGGGGTTTCTTTTTTGTTTGTTTGATTTTTCTTTCTTCCTCCATTTTCATGGTCAAGATTTTCAGGAGATCTCCCCCCAGACAAATCTGATCATCATTAATTATGATGTGATTCATAGCTTTTAGTTTCCTGTAGAAACAAGGGCATAACCTCTCCCCAAATGAAACACGTCTTCTTCTCCATTCTGAAGTTAAGACATTCTTAAAATATATGTTTATTTAGCAGTTTTTCTTTTCAATCCACAGTTTCTTAGCATTATTTGTCTTTTGCTCATCAGCATTCAAAAACTTTAAAATCAACATAAAGGATCAATGTGTCCTATGCATTTCCCTTTTTTTCCTTTATTCTTTCTTTAAAGACTTTATTATTTTTAAACAATTGATTGATTTTGTTGTGACTTTCTATACCCATTATTTTTCTTACTTTAGCACTTGACCACGTTTTCACACACATTGCAACCTGCTCAGAGGTTTTCTTGGCCTGGACCTGAGTTTCTGAATTCCCACAGCCTTCTCTGACTGCACAAGCTAAACCTTAATCTGTTATGCTATCTACTCCCTGGCTAGCAGCTGGGTCTGCCTTTGTCCTACTTATCCCAGCTGCTTCTAATCATCCCAGCTCTGGAAAGTTGCAGAGACTGAATTGCCCAGGTGTTTTCACCTAGCCTGCCACTGTTCAACTTCTCTGCTCTACAGCAAGGCCTTTTAAAGGAGCTATGCCTATGTACACTGTTAAAATCGAGCCTGCCCAAGAGACTGGTTGCAAGAACGCCACATTTGGAACTTATTTTTCTCATCTTTCTCAGGCCCTTTGTGGGTTTACATGCTGGAAGTTGAATGCTAAATGTAGCAAGATTTGTTTGACTATCTTTGAATTGCCAATCTGCAAATAATGATGTGGAGACTTGTCATTAATTATGAAAGCTTCACCTTAGCTTAGGTTTTTTTCCAACTAGCTCTTCTAACTAAAATTAACCTCTCTCTTTTAATCTATGTTCTGTCACATGGCTTTGTTACCTCTGTTCTGTACCATATGTCTGACTTCTTCAGAGTCTGTTATCCCCCTTCTTCCCAGAGTTCCCTTCCTCTCTAGTTGTCCCACTTATTCTCTCCTGCCTAGCTGTTCACCATTCAGCTCTTTATTAAACCAGTCACAGTGACACATCTTCACACAGTATAAACAAATATTCTGCAACACATTGACATATTGTCTAAATTAGTGAGAGACAGCAAACATACCATACAGATTTATGTTGTGCCTTGATCATGTTCACCCTCTGTTCTTTTACTATATCATCTCTTTCTCCTTCCCCTTCTCTGATACATTCTCTTCTTTATACATTTTTTGTTGAGGCTTTTAGAAAATTTTCCACATATAAGACAAAATGCCCTATATTTGTCCTTATGTTTGATTTATTTTGCTTAACACAATGCTCTCCAGTTCTTGTTTCTTTTATTTTGTACTATTTTTATAATAGAAAACCCTGTTCTTAATAGGAAAGTATTTATAATTTTACTGCATATGGCATTTTACTTTTAATCTGTATTATATTTTAATTATGTGTGTGTGTTCACATGAGTTCAGGTGCCTGCAGATTCTATACATAAAAGTGTTGGATCCCCTGGAGCTGGCATTATAGGTGATTGTGAATTGTCCAGTTTGGGTGCTGGGAACTCAGCTCAGCTCCTCTGCAACAGTAACACATACTCTTAACCACTAACCATCTCCCTAGCTCCTACATTTAGCAATTTATGAGCCTATGTATACATTGTTTGCCTGTTTGGTTTATCATGGAATTCTAGAATTATTTTGTAATATTTACTAGGACCTACTACTAGTGATTGCTTTCTGTGTGTGCTATGAAGTTTAACTGACATGTACTGCTTGTTAATTTTGTAAACTGCCTGTTATGAGTAGAGCTAGGTAAATTTTTAAGTGATAATTGCATTGTTTTTGCTGGAACTGTTTTTGTGAATCTTTCCTCTCTTTTTGCTATTGTTTTGCATTCAGAATTGTCACTTAATTCATTATAAATTAACTACTGTTACCTTCCATTTAAAATTTTTTTATGGCATTTTCTTGTGTTCTTATACAGAATATACTATTAATCCCTTTTCCCCTTTCTATTGTAGTACAGTCATATACTTTTTGGCAATTATTAAGGCATAATAGAAAAATAGTCTTCTCCTGATTAATCTAACTTTGCTCAGTATGAATAATTTGGTCAAGGGTTATTTGAAGTGATGACTCTCTCCTCATCATTTAAATTGCATATAATTACCTGTTCTTAATTATATAATCATTCATTTTTTTGATGCATTTTTTTATAGTTCTAAAAATTAGTGTCAGTAAATATTTTTTTTCCTTTAAATTTTTTTCAGTGTGGAATATTTGTCTTTAATTAATCAGAAATCTGTTATATCTTCTAGTCAACTCTCCTGAACATACAATTAAAGATTTACCACCAAAAGCAAGTGGCGATTCAGAAGAAATAAGCCAGACAATGATGTCAGGAAGATATAAAGGCAGTGGCACTGAAGCCTTTTCCTTCAGAGAAATCCAGGAGAACATACAGGATTTTGAGTTCCAGTGGAAAGACAGTGAAAGCAATTACAAATCCACCCAGAGAAAACATCAAGACAGTAGCAAGACAGGAAAATGTCATAGGAACCTACTTGAATTACAGTCATTTCCATCTGCAGAAAATATTAATGATGAAGTTAAGTCTATCACCAGTGGTTCTTCTATTTTGTTGTCTCGTCAAATTCCTCACACTGGTGTCAAAGTACACATTATTCATGAATATGAGGATGATGTTTATTGTTCACTACTTAAGAAAAGACAAAAAACATTTACTAAAGAAAAACCTTATCAGTGTGATGAGTGTGGCAAAGTATTCAGTTATACTTCTTCTCTGGCACATCATCAACAAATTCATACTGGAGAGAAACTTTACAAATGTGTTGAATGTGGGAAGGCTTTTTTTCGACGTTCTTATCTTTTGGTACATGAGAGGCATCATACTGGAGCAAAACCTTACAAATGTAATGAATGTGGCAAGGTCTTCACTCAGAATTCACACCTCACAAGTCATCGGAGAATTCATACTGGTGAGAAACCATATAAGTGTAATGAATGTGGCAAAGCCTTTAGTGTTCGTTCAAACCTAACTAATCATCAGGTAATTCATACTGGAGAAAAACCTTACAAATGTAACGAGTGTGGCAAGGTCTTCAGTCAAACTTCAAGCCTTGCAATACATCGGAGAACTCACACTGGCGAGAAACCTTACAGGTGCAATGAGTGTGGAAAAGTCTTTAGCTCACATTCAAACCTAAATACCCATCAGGTAATCCATACTGGAGAAAAACCCTACAGATGTTCAGAGTGTGGCAAGGTCTTTACTCAGAATTCACATCTTGCAAATCATTGGAGAATACATACTGGAGAGAAACCTTACAAGTGTAATGAGTGTGGAAAGGCCTTTAGTGTGTATTCTAGCCTCACTACCCATCAGGCAATCCATACTGGAGAAAAGCCTTACAAGTGTGATGAGTGTGGCAAGGTCTTTACTCAAAATTCACATCTTGCAAGTCATCGTGGAGTCCATAGTGGGGAGAAGCCTTACAAGTGTGAAGAATGTGGCAGAGTCTTTAGTCAGACTTCAAATCTTGCAAGACACTGGAGGATTCATACCGGAGAGAAGCCATACAAATGCAATGAATGTGGCAAAGCTTTTAGTGTTCGTTCAAGCCTAACTTCCCATCTGGTAATACATACTGGAGAAAAGCCTTACAAATGTAATGAATGTGGCAAGGTGTTTAGTCAAACTTCAAGCCTTGCAATTCATCAGAGAATTCACACTGGAGAGAAACCTTACAGGTGCAATGAGTGTGGAAAAGCCTTTAATTCACATTCAAACCTAAATACCCATCAGGTAATCCATACTGGACAAAAACCTTATAAATGTCTGGATTGTGGCAAAGTGTTTACTCAAAATTCACACCTGGCAAATCATCGTAGAACACATACAGGAGAGAAACCTTACAAGTGTAATGAGTGTGGCAAAGCCTTCAGTGTGTACTCAACTCTGACTACTCATCATGCAATCCATACTGGAGAAAAACCTTACAAGTGCAATGAATGTGGTAAAGTCTTCACTCAAAATTCACACCTAGCAAATCACCGTAGGACTCATACTGGAGAAAAACCTTACAAATGTGATAAGTGTGGTAAAGCCTTTAGTGTTCGTTCAAGCTTGACTACCCATCAGGCTATCCATAGTGGAGAAAAACCTTACACATGTGCTGAGTGTGGCAAAGTCTTTAGTCGAAGTTCTAACCTTGCAAGTCATCGGAGACGTCATATTGGACAGAAGCATCAGTGAATATAGCAAGGTCTTCAGCCACAATTCATTTGCACAATATTCAGGAATTCATTCTTAAGAAAATACCAATGTCCATAATGATAGAAACACACCCATGAAGGGTTCAAGTACATCACTGGATGTGGTGGTATACTTGTAAACCACACACTTGTCAGGCTGCTTGGGAGCGTCACCAGCCTGGGAATTATAGAAAGAACTTGACTTAAGTTTTAAAAAGTCAAGCTTTTGTAGACATATACTAAGGAGCCATTTCATACATGTAGAACAGATGCTTTAGTAATGACTCCCACATCTAGAAATACCAAAACACATATTGTTGATGGAATCCACCCAGATGGCACTTAGTGAGGAAGTTACTTAATTACTTTGGAGTGTTTATTGGAGGAATAACTTTCATCTTCCATAGCTAATCTTCAGTGTTATAGTTACTGTTAATTATAGGACAATTAAAAGTCAAAATAAGCTAAAATATTTTATATATGTGTGTATATACACACACAAACACACACACACATATATGAAAGCACCAACACTATTTTGATATACCTGCTTCCATTTAGGTTGTAAATGATTCATTCTGTTCTGTTTTCTTTTGAAGTCTGCTTTGCCATTTATTATTGTAGGCCTCAACTTTCTATTGATTGAATGCTTGCCTCAGGGGATTTTTATTGCAGCCTCTGGGAAACATGCTGAAAAGTCACATTAGTAGGATAGGAGCATGTCTATCTAATTTCTTGGAAGAATGACTCTACCTTTTGAAGTGACTACTGTCTCAGTTATTTCCCTACTTGGTTTTAGTTGCTGTGATAAACCCCATGACCAAAGCCAACTTGGGAAGGAAAGGGTTTATCTCATTTTACTGATTATAGTCAGTCAAGGGAAGCCAGTTTGGGCTAGAGTAGAAATATGAAGGCAGGAACAAAAGTAGACAATAGAGAAAGAAAATGTGCTTGCAGGTTTGTTTTTCATTTCTTAAGTTCCCATATACAACCCAGGACCACCCACCAAGGTGTGTTACTGCCCAATGTGGCCTAGGCCCTCCCGGACCAGTCACTAATAAAATGCTTGTCACACATGCCCAGAGTCCAGCCTTAAGAGTCCCTTTTCCCACATTATAGTGGGTATCAAGTTGACAAGATTTAACCAGATCATTTATTGTCTAAAAGGCATGTGATACTGTAAAATTGCAACATAAATTTATCAAGTTTATTGTGTATGATGGAGCCTTTCCGAGGCAACAGCAATTAAATGGGAAAGAAATTAAGATACTATATTCTATGAAATGAGAATAATGTAGGCTATTAGGGATTTAGTAAAATGAAGACAAGTGACCATCTACTTTGACAATAGCTTTCATATAGTATATAATTAACAATTATTCTTTTTAATTTGAAGTGAATAGCATTAGAATGAAAAATGTAACCCAAAGAATCAAAGTGTAGGTGCTGGCTGCATAGAGTAGAGACACATTTGTGTACCGCATGTGAAGCCCTTGATTCAATCCTCAGCATCAAAAGTAAGTTTTTTTGACGATGATATCATTTAACTACCTGTGTTAAGCTTTGCCATTGTGTTATTAAAAATCTATCATTGATCTACTATTTAGTTAATGAATGTAAAGCTTTTACATTCCTATGAATGTATTTTTATATCCTCTGAATAGTCTTTCTGTACCTATACAGTACTTACTCATGGGAAATGAGAAAATTATATGAAGCACTTCAGGTTAAGGTTTCTATACTTGTATGAAATCAAACACTGTAAAGTTATAGGACTCTATTATAATTTTTCAGTGAACTTATTCAGTCCATGCCTATAGGATATTTGTGTATTTATAATGGATATCAACAAAAGTGCATTGTTCAGACTGCCAAAGTAAAGATAACATCTGTCCTGTATATACCTCTACACTTGAAACTTCTCATAGCTACACAATACTTCAAACATTATGTAGATTTGTATGAACTGTGCAGTCCTCTGGTTGATTTTCCATATCAATAATATTTGAAAAACAACAGTACAGACAGAATCATGAATTATTTCATGAAAAAAATGTACTTTAAGCACATTATTTAATAAAAATGAAATTCATGAAGTAATCTGACTAGAAATATATCAGAATTTCTAAAGGGAGATGGTTTCTTACTTTTCTGTTGTTATATAGAATACCCCAACAAAAGCAAGGTAGGGAAGAAAGTTTGTTACAGTTTTCAGGGGAGAGGAAAGGCATGGCAGTCAGAAAATGTCACATTTTATGAACAGGAAGTTGACCATGCTATAAAACCTCAAAGCACTACAGCTATTGACCTATTCCTCCAGTAAGGCTGCATGACTGGCCCAGATAAATAGTACTACCAACACAGGATCTAGTGTTCAAATACATGAGCCTGGGAACTTCTAATTTAGCCCCTCATTGATTTCACTCAATGTTACATATGTTCTTTCCTAAACCAGTATGAACTGGAGAAGACTATTAAATTTTTCTGGCAGCTTGGGATGAAGCCTGCCTCTCTTGGGCCATGTGCAGCAGAAGAACATAAAGGTTTTTCCACTTATAGGTTCTTGACCTTAGCTATTGGAATTTTGCCCTCAGGTCATCTTATTGTTGCACTGTGGAAACAGGGGTTCCTGTATACAGTACTAATCATTTAATAATTATTTTTTTCAATACTCTCCTTTACTGCAGTCTTCTACTTCCCTGTGTTGTTTTGCTTTTGGAACTGCTTATCTTTCTCTGCCACATGTCCTTTTTCATTACAGACTCATAAGTAATCACTAACAAAATGATTTGCTATTTTGAAGACTTTCCTAAAGAAATCAGCCTGTTCTTTCTTAATACAAATTTGGGGGGGTATTCAGCTGGATTCTTTGCCAATATATCATATAAATCACTTCTAGCATAGTTAATAATAAAGTGCTTGCTTATGAAATTTCATGGGCTATACTACCACACTTTGCATTTTTTTTCACCATTGCTGTCATCTGTGCTTACACTAGAAGTCCCATTAAGTTCTACTTAAAACATCATTGATGTTTCCAACAAACAGTACCAAATCTTGGTATAATTCTTTATGAATACACCAGCCTATAAACCACATAGTTGGGTTTACCAAAGAGCCCATAATAGTAGTTTGAATAACAGTTGCCTGCACTGGTTCATAGATGGGAATGATTCTGTTGGAAAAGGTAAGGAGTTGTGATCTTCTGGAGGGAGTATGTTACTAGGGATATGCTTTGAAGTTTGAAAAGCCAAGCTAGGACCCATTGCTCTCTTTCTGTTGTCTGCCAGTTTTAGCTTGGAACTCAGCTACTTTTTTAAATTATTATTATTATTTATATCCATCCCAGTTCCCTCTCTCTCCCGCCCTCCCTCCCTCCCTTTCTATTTCCCTCTCTCCCACCCTCCCATGCACCCTGACCACCCTCCCCTCCCATTCCTCACCCCCGCCATCCAGGAGGGTTCATCTAAATCAGTCAAGTCTTTTGAAGTAGGGATTAGGACTTCTCTTCTGTCTCTAGGTTAAGGAAGTATCTCTCCATGGGGGATGTGTCCACAATGTCCTTTTGTGTACCAGGAATACATCCTGGTTCCATTGTCTGAGGTTCCTTAGACTGCTCAGGCCTTCTAGCTGAGACCCATGTTCAGGGAATCTGAGTCAGTCCCGTGCTTGATTCCCAGATATCAGTCTGGGAGCTTGTTAGCTCCTCCTTGTTCAGGTCAGCTGACTCTATGTGTTTCTGCAGCCTGGTCTTGTCCTCCTCCCTCTCTGCATCTGGATTACAGTATGGCTCAGTGTTCAGTAGTGGGTGTTTGCTTCTTTTTCCATAATGATGGATAAGTTAGTTGTCGATCTCATTATCAGGAAAGGGCATTTATGGCAGCCTTTTCACTGTTGCTCAAATTGTTAGTTGGGGTCAGTCTTTAGGTCTCTGGACATTTCTATAGGTTCAGTTTTCTCTTCCTCCCCTGACTCAATCTTCCTAGTCCCACGTGCTTTCCTTCTTTCCTCTCTTCCCCTTCTCTTTCTTTTAGTTCCCTCTCCACTTACTGCCACCCCCCCCATATTCTCTGGAGATCTTGTTCCTTTCCCCTTCTTTGAGGGACTTTATATGAATCTCTTAGAATCCTCCTTGTATCCTAGTTTCTCTGGTGGTGTGAATTACAGGCTGGTGATCCTTTGCTCTATGTCTAAAATTCCTGAAAATGCTATCTTTCCTCTTTTTTTTGTAATGATAACTATATTACATGCCATGGTATGTGTGATCTGCTTTTCGATTTTGATTTTTACAAGGGTTTGCTTTTAAGATATTACCATGAGTCTCAGAATAGACTTTGGTCTTTTAAACAGTGCTGAGACAGTTATTTATTATGGGACTTTTTGAAGTTTTGTTGAATTCATTTTACATTATGATATAGCCACAAGCCTATGGGGGCTGGAAGTGGAATATGATACTTTGAATAAGAATGGCCCCCATAGTCCCGTAGATTTAATGTTTGGTCTTTAGAGAGTACCTTTACTTGCCAGGGATTAGGTGGTATGGCCTTGTCAAAGGAAGTGTGTCACTGGGCATGGGCTTTGGAGTTTCAAGTGCTCAAACCAGGCCCACTTTCCTTCTCACTTCCTGCTGCTTGCTGATTCAGATGTAGAACTCTGCTACCTACATGACACCAGGCTTCCCTCCACAATGGTCATGAGCTAAACTTATGAAACTATAAGCCAATCTCAACTTAAGTGTTTTCTGTAATAAGTGTTGCCATGGTCTTGGAGTCTTTTCATAGCAGTTGAACAATGACTACAACCAGAGTGGTACATATTTTAAAAAGGGAAGCTTAAACAATTTTACATTTTCCAAGCTAAACTGCTTAGAAGGAAAAATACTTCATTACGTTTCCAACCAAAGAAAGCTACTGTTTTGGGGAGCATTGGGTGGTCAATGAAGGAGTAGACACTTGTTATAACATTTTCATATGTACAGATAACTATCATATTTTTAACCCATTGTTTTTCTTTATCTCTCCTATATCTTCATTGGTCCCTTCCTCTGTATTCCCCTTCTTTTTCAGACATCTTGACACTT